TCCTTGTACTATCATTAGTCTCGGATGACTATTTCAAGCCTAATTACTCCATTTTCTTTGTATGTTTCATCAGAAGTCCGTTTTCCATATTTTCGGCTAGTAGACCTGTTTCGGATCTTCATTAAGGATATCTTCTAGGGAATGAGATACAAGTAATAGAGGCTTCTCCTTGTACTATTATGAGTCCCAGATGACTATTTCAAGCCTATTTTCTCTATTTTCTTTTTATGTTTCATCAAAAGTCCGTTTTACCCATTTTCGACTAGTAGACCAGTTTCAGATCTTCATTTGGGATATCTTCTAGGGAATGATGTACAAGTAATAGAGGCTTCTCCTTATACTATTATAAGTCTCAGATGACTATTTCAAGCCTATTTACTCCATTTTCTTTGTATGTTTCCTCAGAAGTCCGTTTTCCCGATTTTTGGCCATTTTTGGCTAGTAGACCAGTTTTGGATCTTCATTTGGGAAGTCTTCTAGGGAATGAGATACAAGTAATAGAGGCTTCTCCTTGTACTATTAAGAGTCTCAGATGACTATTTCAAGCCTATTTACTCCATTTTTATTTGTATAATTCATCAGAAGTCTGTTTTGCCCATTTTCGGCTAGTAGACCAGTTTTGGATATTCATTTGGTAACTCTTCTAGGGAATGAGATACAAGTAATAGAGGCTTCTCCTTGTGCGATTAAGAGTCCTAGATGACTGTTTCAAGCCTATTTACTCCATTTTTATTTATATAATTCATCAGAAGTCCGTTTTGCCTATTTTCGGCTAGTAGACCAGTTTTGGATATTCATTTGGGAACTCTTCTAGGGAATGAGATACAAGTAATAGAGATTTCTCCTTGTACTATTATTAGTCTCAGATGACTATTTCAAGCCTATTTACTCCATTTTCCGTGTATAATTCATCAGAAATCAGTTTTCCCCATTTTTGGCTAACAGACCAGTTTTGGATCTTCCTTTGGGAACTCTTCTAGGGAATGAGATACAAGAAATAGATGCTTCTCCTTGTACTATTATGAGTCTTAGATGAATATTTCAACCCTATTTCCTCCATTTTCTTTGTATGTTTCCTCAGAAGTCCGTTTTCCCCATCTTGACTAGTAGACCAGTTTTGGATATTCATTTGGGAACTCTTTTAGGGAATGAGATACAAGTAATAGAGGCTTCTCCTTTTACGATTATGAGTCCCAGATGACTATTTCAAGCCTATTTACTCTATTTTCTTTGTATGTTTTTTCAGAAGTCCGTTTTCCCCATTTTCGGCTAGTAGACCTGTTTCGGATCTTCATTTAAAATTTAGTTCTAAAACCGAAAAACCTCTCGGTTTGACGGTTTTTAACCAAACCAAATCTAAACTAAAATTATAAAAAATAATAATCAAATAAACTTTTAGATTTAACTATAACCATACCATATCACTTTTTTTTAGTTCAGGATTTGGTTTTTTCACTCACGGTTTTTTACTCACCCCTATGTAAAAGGCTAAAGAATTAATGCGAAAAAAGACAATTGTCTTTTACTTCTTGGGATTTTTTAGCACAGTGAAATTAGGTATCCCTCGTCGCGTCTTTCACGGAGGCCGTGTAACGCCCACCACAATCGACAATCTTCATGAGTATTGACATATATACCATTAGTAAAGCATGTTACTTAAAAATAATTCACGTATCATGATAACTCTTGTCGCACACGAAAACTGATATTATGACAATGAGTTAGTACGGTATCTAAGATTGAGGGAAGCTCTTTGATCTTCATGAAAAACATTTCCATTTCCAAACACTAATCATCGTCCAGACTCGATTATTATTAAGCAAAGCCTCGGGAAAATGGAAATATTAGTGGACCAATTTTTGTGTGTTTTGAAGCCACTAGTTTTCATCACCCGCTAGAGTTTAACTTTGTAACGTCATTAGTTTGTATATGCGCTCACACATCTCGGCTCACTCGGCTTGTCAACGTCAATCATCATCATGAGCCACACCTTTTTTACAGAAGACTTGCAACAAAGAGGAAGATCGATCACATTCCAAATGTGACAGTGATAGGGAATGCATTAACCTTTCGAGACATAAAACTAGTCAGTACCAAGATACAGATGCATGGACCAGCTACTACATTGTACAAGACAAGGCAGACAAAGATGTCGAGACCAATTCAGATGTGTAACCTCCACTTTATCACATCGGGGACATTTGATTAGGGGTGGGAAAAAAACCATAATCGAAAAAACCAAACCATATCGTTATAGTTAAACCTAAGTATCTATTTGGTTATCATTTTTTATAGTTTTTGTTTAGGTTTGGTTTGGTTAAAAACCATCAAATCGATTTTTTTTTCTATTTTAGAACTAAATTTTAAATAATTAATATTTTCCTATTTTCTTAATTTTGTTTAAGTCTATATTTTACTATTAGGTTTAATTATCTTTATAATTTACTAACTTAACTCATAAAATTAAATATAATATATATAAAAAATATCTACATATAAATAATAAAAGTTGTAAATCCTAAATTTCAGTCAAAACAAAAAATGATTATGGTTAACTTTTCCTTCTTCACATTCAAGTCTTCTAGTTTTAACTTTCTAGATATTTAATTTAATTTATCTCTATCTATTTTTTTATAGTTATTGACTTTGAAAAGTTTTATACTTTGTTTATATTTTTTTCTATATATTCAAATTTGATTCCTTTGTAGTCTTTAAATACATTATAAAATTATAATTATATTTAGATCTTATATAAATATAAATTATTTTTAATATTTATATATTATAAATTTGTATATTAGAGATTATAAACAAATGAGAAGATAAACAGTAGTGGTTGTTAAGAATCTGATTTTTTAATTAGTTTTTGGTTTTTTTTTTTATAAATTTATCTTTTATTAATGGATCTTTATGATTTGGATTCTATTTTTTCTATTTTTTTGCTTTTCACTCATATCTATTATTATAATTTTTTATTATTTTGAATCAATTTTTTGTGATAATATAATTCTAAAAAAACTGAAACCGAACCAAGTTATATATGTATTTTCGTAATGTTTTAATTTTTCTAAAGTCAAAAATCATAAAACCATACCGAACTAAAATATATATGGTTTAAATTTTTATAAAAACAATAAACCGTAAAACTGAAGAAACTGAACCAAAAATCGAAGTGCCCATCCCTATATTTTATAGTGATGAGTTAGTCTAACCATTTGGATACTTTAGATTGGATATTTTTGGATTTTAGATATTACAGTAGTAGAAATTTAGGTATCTTTTATATAGTTTTGAATTTTAGTTTAGATTCGGTTTGAGAGCTTTTGTACTCGGATCAGTTTAAATATTTGATTTGGAGAACTAAAAATTACAGTTTGGTATGATTATATTTTATCAAAAAATATTTGAAAATATCCAAAAACCAAAATATTTTAAAATTCAAAAAGTTAAATATGCAATGTGAGTCTAACTTCACTATTGTACAGTACATAAAATCAATGTAAAAATCATATTATTACATAAAATATCCAAATACCTACTGATGAATGTATGATATGAAACCTCACAACAATCAGAAAATGGTACAAAATGAAAAACTATGGAGTTGGAATTTGAATGTGCCACCAAAACTCCAAAAGAGTAGCAAGGTCGGTCTTGTGTGAAGTAATAAAATTCAGCTTTTACTTCTTGTCTCAGCAATTCATTTATTTATTTTAAATATACTCCTAAAAAACTAATTATTTTGTCAATAACTTTGACATTTATTCTTGGCTTTTGACATTGCCATCCAACATAATTCCCGTGGTGGGGTCCACGCGGAATAATAAAGCCGCTCAAATCCACTTCTTAAGGCTCAAATTTAAATCACATTTGCCAATAATATATTCAATTTTGTTAATTTGTAATCAATTACTAATTTTCCAATTTTGTTGCCAATAATTTGTTGTTTAAAGGAAAAGAAGACCAATTAAATCCTTAATTGACGGTAATCAACTTTAGTAAGTAACTAAACAAAAAATTAATTCGTTTTGAACCTAATCCCCCAATTAAGCGTATAATAATACTTTCTCAGAAAAGGAGAGAGAAAACAAAAAACAACTGAGAGAAAGAAGAGAGAGAGATAGAGAGAGAAGAAGAAGAACAGTAGTGCCTAGTCTTTGCAATTCACACACATCGAAAGCGATAATAAAGTTTCCAACTTTTTCTTTCCCCTTTTGCTTCTTTCAAATTCAGAATTCGATCTTCGAAATTGAAGAACAAGAGCAAGAATTGAGGAATCGAATCCCCAGGAATCAAGGTCTTTCTTCCACCTTTTTTTTTAATTTTTCTTTTCTTTCTCTCACCACAAATTGCGGGTCTCTGTCTCTGTTTGGTCTCCATGTTGTGTCTTTCCCAATCTAACGCTTGTTCTTGAGGTTTCATTTCATCTCTGACTCTGTTCCTACTTCGTTGAGATCGAGTTTTGTTAGAATTGTATGATTTGAGGTCTGTCTGGTGCATTTTTTGCCTGACCCAAATTTAGGGTTTCCGGTTTGATTTCGTAAATTTTCCTCCAATTTTCAGCGTACATTTTGGTATTTCCAGTGATTCCCATTTCTAATCTAATCATTTCAGATCTATTAGGTTGTGTTCTACTTTCATATGATCATCTAAGTAATCCATGGAGAATTCTGCAGTTTAGATTCTGATATGTTTTTGAACATAAACTCAAAAGTTGTCAATTGAACCAAAATCAAAAAAAAGTTGAGAACTTTGAGTTTCTGTTCAATGTTTAGAGTTGATAAACCATTTCTTATTAGTTATAAACACGCTTATGTTTCAGAGTCAGTGTTAGCTAATATGTTTCATCTTGTCGTAGGTGGTGAAGCAGTAGAAAGAGCTAATCACTAGATGCATAATTGGAGTGGGACTAATTCTTTGCACTTAGTGAACTCTCTGTTCATTTGTACATAAAGCTCTGGTTTTGGGTTTGGGTTTGGAGAAGGTAAAGGTGGAGAGAAATGGATACAGCGAAAGCTTGGATTAGTAAGTTGAAATCTAAAGATAAGTCAAAATCTTCGAAAAAGAAGGAAGCCACAAGTAATGTAAAGGAAGCACCGCAAAAAGCTGGTGGAGGTGAAGAAGCGCTTTCGAATGTAACAAAGGAGAAAGCTGCTGCTGCAAAACTGTACATTGAAAACCATTACAAGATGCAAATGCAGAGTCTGCAGGAAAGAAAAGAGCGGTATGGTTCTGGTTACCTATAGCTTCACAATGTAATTGTTTTGTCATGCTGTTTCATGTTTTTGATGTTTATTTTATTTCTATGCAGACGCAAAATGCTAGAAAAGAAATTAGCTGCTGCAGAAGTCTCTGAGGAGGAGCAAAACAACTTGATAAAGGATTTGGAGATGAAGGAAACGGAGTACATGCGACGTCAGAGGCATAAAATGGGAGCTGATGACTTTGAGCCATTGACAATGATTGGGAAAGGTGCATTCGGAGAGGTAGCATATCTTTTGATTCATCTCTTTTACAGATCAAATTTTGTTTTAACAGCATTTCATTGGCAAATCTTTGGGCTTTTTTGGACTGTGGCTTAACTCCTTCATGTGTTATGTTTTGTATTTGTATCTCTTTTTGCAGGTTAGGATCTGTAGGGAGAAGGGAACAGGTAATGTCTATGCAATGAAGAAGCTTAAGAAATCTGAGATGCTTCGCAGAGGACAGGTATTTAGATTCCTCCAAGCTGCGTTTACTTGACATTTATTTGGTTGGTTGATGTGTTTGCGGAATCTGATTTTCAGGTGGAACATGTAAAAGCAGAGAGAAACTTACTCGCAGAAGTTGACAGTAATTGCATTGTCAAACTGTATTGTTCTTTCCAAGACGAGGAGTACTTGTATCTCATAATGGAGTATCTACCTGGTGGGGATATGATGACTTTACTTATGAGGAAAGACACACTTACCGAAGATGAGGCCAGGTTTTATATTGGGGAGACTGTCCTGGCGATTGAGTCCATTCATAAGCACAACTATATCCACAGGTCAGTGAAGCAGGACATATGACTTATAGTTGTAGCTGCCATGTCTGTCATTTTGTTCTAAACGTCATCTGTCTTCTTCTCCAATGTGATACAGAGATATCAAGCCTGATAATCTACTACTTGATAGAGAGGGACACATGAAACTGTCAGATTTTGGACTATGTAAACCATTAGACTGCAGTAATCTCCAGGAGAAAGATTTCACAGTTGCAAGAAATGTTAGTGGGGCTTTACAAAGTGATGGTCGCCCTGTGGCAACAAGACGCACCCAACAGGAGCAACTGCTAAACTGGCAGAGAAACAGAAGGATGCTTGTAAGTGTCACTTTTGTATCATCTTTTATTCATACCTCTGCACTTTTGCAATAATATATGGAGTGTCAGGTTAACTTATTAAGTTAAGGTTATGATTGGTTTCAGGCTTATTCCACTGTTGGAACTCCTGACTATATTGCCCCAGAAGTTCTGCTGAAAAAAGGATACGGAATGGAATGTGATTGGTAGGTTCAGCTAACTATTGATTCTCTTTGGTTTCTTTAGTGGACATAATTTATATAGATGAATAATCTTGAGAGTACTCCTTTAGGTGGTCTCTTGGCGCCATTATGTATGAAATGCTTGTGGGGTTTCCGCCATTTTATTCAGATGATCCGATGACAACTTGTAGGAAGGTGATTAATCCATTGCGTTTGTGTACCTTCCATTTGAATATTGGAGCTTGTATTCAATTTCAGTCTTTTGGCATCTCTCTGGTGATTCTAATGTAGAACATAACTAACCTTTTTTCTCTTGTCGTTGTGTTCTCCCTGGTGCAGATAGTAAATTGGAGAAATTACTTGAAATTCCCAGAAGAGGTTAGACTATCACCAGAAGCCAAGGATCTTATTTGTAGGCTTTTATGCAATGTTGAACAAAGGCTTGGAACAAAAGGAGCAGATGAAATTAAGGTTTTGTGTGCTTTATTCTACTTTGAGATGCAAAGTTGCCTTATCTTAATATTTTTGTGAGAGACCTTAAGAAACGCTTTTACACTTGTTTCTTTAAGGGTCATCCTTGGTTCAGAGGTACTGAATGGGGAAAATTGTACCACATGAAGGCTGCCTTTATTCCTCAAGTCAATGATGAGTTGGACACACAAAATTTTGAGAAATTTGAAGAGGTAACATACTGATACTATCAGCTCATGATGTATATATATTGATGTGCCATGATATAGATATTGAAGTATTGGTGCCACAGATGATTTGTATGCTCCTGATAAAGAAAAAAAATAATGTATACTCTTCTTTGATTCCTTTTTGAACAGACTGACAAGCAAGTTCCAAAGTCGTCAAAGTCAGGTCCATGGAGAAAGGTACGACATAGACCGTTGACTCTCTCGCATTATGTCTCACGTGTCACGATTTATGTTCATCAGCAGCTTTGTTTCTAGTATGAGTAACCATACTTCAATTGCTCTATAATCCATGTTGACTCTCTAATGAAGTTGTAAATAATATATATATATATATATATATATATATATGTAGATATATATTTTTGCTTACTTGGGCTTTCTTAACATGGGGCTGGCTATTTTTGTATCTTCTCCAGATGCTCTCTTCCAAGGACATTAACTTCGTGGGTTATACTTACAAGAACGTTGAAATTGTAAACAATGATCAATTACCAGGGATAGGTATTTCACTTTAGCCGCTTTCCTGTGTTTGAGGCAGAAGCTAGATAACTAGATTTGCCTTTTGACTTAACAACATTGCTTGTCTGCTGCATTGTAATCTGTTTTTTTTTTTTGTGCGTGTGTGCGCGCAGCTGAGCTAAAGAAGAAGAGCAATAAGCCAAAGCGGCCCTCGATTAAATCCCTTTTTGGTAAATGCTTTTCCCATTTGATCATGTGTTGGAAGCAAGTGGCAGTATATAACAGAGACTGTAGAATCAAGAATATTACACAAATGATGTTGATTCTTCTCTAATGTAACTGTGGTTATAAAACATGAAACAGAGGATGAATCATCTGGTGGTGGCACAACAACACACCAAGGAAGCTTCTTGAAGCTATTACCTACGCAGGTGGAAGATCCAGAGAAAGAAGAAGGTAGTAAGTCCAGCTCATCCGGGTGAAGATTTGACTGACACATTTGCACAGCCTGAATCAGAGACACTCTTCTTATATAATTTGTGTGTGTTTTGATTTCGTTGAAAGCCTCTTTGTTATCTCCTAAAGAGTAGGAAAATGGGTTTTGCAACAAAAGTACAGTATAGTCTCCTGTGGAAGCGAAGAGGTTTCCCTGAAAGGAGTCAAAGATGGATTTTTTTTTTTTTAATTGTTTCAACATAGGGTTGTTTGATTTGATGTCAACCAAGAGAGAGAGAGGGGAAAAAAAAGTAAATATTCTTTCCAGAATTGGTTTGTTTACTTAATTTTTAAGGGAGAATGAGAGATTTGGTATTTTGTTTTTTTAAGTTTGGTTTCTTTGGTTGATCAAAGAATTTGGTTGTACTATTACACCTCAAGATGAAATCTTCAACTACTAATACTATGACAAATGACTGTTCTTCCTCTCTTTATATACTATGTTTTTGTTATCTTTCATAAACCACAAGCTAACTATAAGACTTCATGTGAGTTTTATCAACGTATGGTTTAGCACTAATGACTAAACTTATGACTATATTCAGTAAAATTTGTTGACAACAAAATAAAAAATACAGTAAATTATCTATAAATTAATAATACTGAAACATGACATTTTATATAGTAATTATTAATTTATAAATATATTATTTGGTTGATAAACTAAATTTGAGGTTGATAAAAAATATTAATTGATCAAATATTAATTTATACAAATTATCATTTTCCTTGTTTACATACCTTAAAAATATTATTACCATACCCCGTTATGTTGTTATAATTATAAACACACTAGATATTTACCCGCGCTACAGTGCGAGATATTTTTCTAAATTTTGTATATATTTTCATATAAGAAAATTATTTTTATAATATAAATAAGTATTATATTTATTTTTATTAGCTTAAATTATGTATTTATATGTTTTAAATCTGAATAAATATTATATACCCTTATTTTTTTTATTTTTCAAAATTATTATCTACTATCAAATTTGTTTAGCTAACTATATATAAATGTATATGTAAGAATAAAACAATACATTTTTAAGTACTTTCATGCTAATGGTAAATGTAATTTATTTTTTCTACTAAATTGTTACTTGATCCTCTTTCCAAATTATATAAAACAAATTGTCATTTAAAAAAAAAATTAATAAGATTATTTTGAATTATAAAATTTATTTATTTATCAAATATTTATTATAAACATATGTTTCTAAAACTACCAAACTATAATCAATAACATTCATATCAAAACCATTGCTATTGCTTTAGAACTAATAGAAAGTTCTGTTTGAACTGTTGAAATATCAATGTAGTTGAAGTTAAATAATTTAATTTTGGTTATTATAAACATATTGTAACTTGAAAATTTAGCACATAAATTTTTTTATCTTTTTACAAAAACCGAGAAATTGCATTTTCTGACAAATTTTTTTTTTCCCATGAAACTGAGAAATCGCATATTCCCGCCAAAACCAAAAAAAAATTATTTTTCTCGTCAAACCTGAAATTTCATTTTTCTACCAAAACAAAGAAATTGCATTTTTCCACAAAAACAAAAAATCATATTTTCCCGCGAGAACCTGTATTTTCACGTCAAAACAGAGAAATCAAGTTTTTTCACCAAAACAAAAAAAAATTTATCTTCGTGCAAAAACCAAAAAGTCATATTTTCCCGTCAAAACAAAAAAAATATATTTTTCTCGTCAAAGTAAGAATCACGCCTTCCTACCAAAACCGATAAACTACAATTTCCCGTAAAAACCAATAATTGCATTATCTCCTGAGAAATTGCGTTTCCCGTGAAAACTAAGAAATTACATTTTCTCGTAAATAATCAAGAAATCACATTATCCATCAAAAGCCAAAATTTTGCATTTTCTATTAAAACCGAAAAATCGTATTTTTCGTTAAAATTGAAAAGTTGCATTTCCCTCGCATTTTCTCGTCAAAACTAAGATTTGTTTTCGCGTCAAAATTGGATTTTTTTTTCTCACCAAAACCAAAAATTCACATTTTTCCGCCAAACCCGAGAATTCGCTTTTTTCCGCCATAACCAAGAAATTATGTTTTTCGACCAAAACTGAAAATCACATTTTCCTATCGAAATCAAGAAATTCTCTATTCCCGCCAAACCCAAGAAAATTTGTTCTCGGTAACCTCCAGAAATGCGAATCTCCAAGCTGTGGTGGTCTCAGCTTCTCCTCATTTGCTTTCGACTTTCATTTTTTTGTAAACTTTTGGCTTTTTAATGGATCAGCAAAATAGTAAACTGATTTTATTAGATTGTTAATGATATATATTATTGTTATGTTTTTATTAGTTCAAAGTTTTGCTGATGTGTGAGCTTCTTATAATATAACGATTTTTGCGTTGTTGTTATAAAAGCATAGTTGATGATGAGTCTACACTCTCTTCAATCATATATGTCTCTATCAAGCAAATATATAGTTAGAAATTTTAAAACAATATTTTTTTATATAAGTTTTGGTTTGGCAAAAATATATGTTATGGAAGAAATTTTATATGAGTTTTGGTTTGGCAAAAATATAAAACAAAGATTTAATTTTTTTATTTGTTGTTATTTATTATTTGGATTTGGGGATGGTAAAAAATAAAAAATAAAATTATTTGCTGTTATTTATTATTTGGGCTTGTGTTTGACAAAAAAATAAAATAAAGATTAACAAAGAAAAATATTTGGGTTTTTAATGGGTTTAAGTTAAAAATAATAAAAGTTAGTAGATAATTAACAAAGGTTTAAGTTTTTTATGCTGTTATTTAGTAGATGTTCCACTAAATTGCCACTTGATCCTCTTTTATAATTATATAAATTAAAATGTCATTTTTTTTATTAATTAATATAAGTTTTTTGAATTATAAAATTTATTTATTTATCAAATATTTATTTTAAATATATGTTTTTAAAACTTCCAAACTATTATCAATAACATTCATATCGAAACCATTGTTATTGTTTTAGAACTAAATAGAAAATTTTGTTTGAACTGTTGAAATATCGATTTAGCAGAAGTTAAATAATTAAATTTTGTTTACTGTAAACATATGGTAACTTGGAATTTTACCACCAAGAAATTTCATCTTCTTACATAAACTGAAAAATCTCATTTCCCGTTGAAACAAAAAAAAAATTATTTTCCCATGAAAATTAAAAAATTGCATATTCCCGCCAAAACCAAGAAATTTTATTTTTTTGTCATACAAAAATTTTCATTTTTCTACCAAAACCAAAAATTACATTTTCCCACAAAAACCAAGAAATCACATTTTCCCGCGAGAACCTGTTTTTTCCGCCAACTCTCACTAAAACCAAAAAAAATTATTTTCATGCAATAACCTAAAATTATTTTCCGGTCAAAACCAAAAAATTTATTTTTTTGCGAAAACTGAGAAAACGCCTATTCCCGCCAAAACCAAGAAAATTTATTTTCTCGTCAAACCAAAATTCATGTTTCCACCAAAATCGAGAAATTATATTTTTCTGCAAAAACCAAAAATTGCATTACCTCGAGAAATTGAGTTCTCCCGTAAAAACTAGGAAATCACATTTTCCCACTAAAACTTAGAAATCCCATTATCCGTCAAAACTGAAAATTTGCATTATCCATCAAAATCGAGAAATTGCTTATTCCCACCAAAAACCGAGAAATTTTATTTTTTCATCAAACTGAGGAATTGTATTTTTCGCCAGAATCGTCATATTGTATTTTCACGAAAGGACTAAGAAATTGCATTTTTCCACAAAAACCAAGAAATCGCATTAACTGTCAACTCAAAATTTTCATTTCCCATCAAAACCAAGAAATCATATTTATCCGTCAAAATCGAAAAGTTGCATTTTCTATCAAGACCGAGAAATCGCATTTTCCGTCAAAACCAAGACATTTTGTTTTCCCATCAAAATTGATTTTTTCCGTTTTCCCTCCAAAATCAAAAATTACAGTTTCCCGCCAAACTCGAAAAATCGCATTTTCCCGCCATAACTGAGAAATTATGTTTTCTACTAAAACTGAAAATTACATTTTCTCGCCAAAACCAAAAAATATCATATTCTCGTCAAAACAAAGAAATCCTCTATTCCTGTCAAAATCGAGAAAAATTATTCGTGTTTTCCAACAAAACTGAAAAATTGTATTTTTTTGCCAAAATCGCCAAATTGAATTTTTTGAAAAAACCGTGAAATTGTATTTTCAAGCGAAAACCAAAAAATCGTATTATCCATCAAAACAGAAAAATTGCATTGCCCACTAAAACCGAGAATTCGCATTTCCTATCAATAATCGTGATATTTTGTTTTCTGTTAAAATCGAAGAATTTCCTTTTCGCGCCAAAATCGAGAAATCTCATTTTTCCGTCAAACCGAGAATTTTCACTTCCTAAGAATTTTTTTTTCCTTTTCAAACCATGAAATTTTGTTTTTACGTCAAAAGCCAAGAAATTGAGCGAAGACCGAGCTGGAAACAGAGGTGATTCCGACGTTTCCGATGTGAATGATGCTGAGATTGAGGTTTTCACGAATGACTGGGAGGAAGCCCAAGCTGCAAAGCTGCAAAAGTGGAGAAAAATCAGCAGAATAAGTGAAACCATGAGAGATGGAAAGCTCTCGTGTGAGGCTTAGCGACGGAGAATAATCGAAAAGTTATTGATTTGATCTCGGTAACCACCGGGAGTGCGAATCTCCTAGCTGTCATGGTTTAAGCTTCTCATCATTTGCTTTCGACCTTCATTTTTTGTAAACTTTGGGTTTTTTAATAGGTCAGCAAAATAGTAAATTGATTTTATTATTGTGTTGATGATATGTATTATTGTTATGTTTTTATTAGTTCAAATTTTTGCTGATGTGTGAGCTTCTTATAACATACGGCTTTTTGCTTTGTTGTCATGGAAGCATAGTTGATGTTATGCCTACATTTTCTTCAATCATACATGTCTGTGCCAAACAAATAGATAGCTATAAATTTTAATTTTTCTATTTGTTATTATTTATTGTTTGAGATTGAAAAAAAAATAAAACAATTTTTTTGCTATTGTTTATTATTTGGGCCTGGGTTTGGTAAAAATTAAATCAAAGATTTTTTCTATTTGCTGTTATTTATTATTTATGCTTGAGTTTGGCCAAAAAATAAAACTAAAATTAACAATAAAAAAATATTTGGATTTTAATGGATTTAAATTTAAAAGTAAAAATAAATAGATGACTTGTATTAATAAAAAATTTTGATTGATCATGTTTATAAAAAAATATATACATATTAACACTTTTTCAAACTCCTTCATAATCACTCGTAAAAATTGTTTGGAACTATCTATGAAAACAGTAAATCAATGGTACAAACACATTTTTACAAGATATTCTCTTCTTTAGATGCTTCCAAATATTTTTATTTTATAATTTATAGTGTTGGTTTAATTAGATTTATAGATGGGCATGTATATTTTATTTTTTGGGCTTTTATAAATGAAATGAGTGATAAATGAAATGGTGATGTGTATTAATATTTTAATTTGATTAGTGAATATTTTTGCTGATGTGTCATCTTTAGAAAACTTTAAAATACTGAGGTGTTTCACCAGGAAAGACACTTGTGTTTTTATTGTATCCATTAAAAGTTAGGAGAAAAATTCAAAGGTTCTTTCACCTTTTCTATGCAGAATTTATTATAACTTTCGTTTAATTTTATTTGCGAAACGACGGCGTTTAGTAATCAGGGATTTGCTGGAGACTTTCTTTGAACAAGGGTAGGAGCAGTAGATCTTCTTCTTCTTCTTTCTCTGGCAGCTACGAGCTCTGAAAAGATGCAGGTATCTTCTTAGAGCCATTGTGTCGATTAGCTTTCGCATTATTCTCTAATTTTTCTCATCTCCGTATCAAATTTTCGTAATCGAAAGGAAAGAAAACCTAATTCGCTAATCATCTCTCTGTTTTAGTATCAGAGTTTTCGCAGAGTTTTAAACGAAATTAGTTCGATTCGTCTCTTTATAAGCACAGTTGAAAACCAGAGGAACAATTTTTTTGGTGCAGGCAAGTGATAGGTTTAACATCAATTCTCAGCTTGAGCATCTTCAAGCTAAATACGTTGGAACTGGGCATGGTGATTTGAGCAGATTGTGAGAGTTTCTTTTGAAACCAATAAATGTTATCTGCGTTTTCATTTAGATTCTTGTTTTCTAATTTGAGAAATGTGCAGTGAGTGGGCTGTGAACATTCAGCGTGATAGTTATGCTTCATACATCGGCCATTACCCAATGCTTGCCTACTTTGGGATCGCTGAGAACGAATCAATCGGTCGAGAACGCTACAATTTCATGCAGGTTCATGTCTTTTTCGCCTGTTTCATTCTCTTGAGTGACAAATCTAGAGTTCAAGATTTGGGTTTATGATGATTCTGTCTTCAGTTGATTTAGGAGTGTGTCATATGGTTATTTTGCCTTATCATCATGATTCTGTTAGGTTACACGTAGATTAGAGAGCATTGTGTTATGGTCTCACTCAAATGTTAGGATTATGAGTGTATTCGTTATTTTGTTCATCTCTATCTTTTTACTGTCAGATTCAGATTCATTGATTTGTTGTTAACATGGTTTTTTAGTTTAAGTCTTGTCAATGGCGTATTTGTCTAGTTTATGCTGTGAAATTTTGATTTCTGAGAATGTAACCAATCAGCAGCACCTACAGTTAGATTAGAGATCATTAGGTTGTGGTCTCACTCAAATGTTTTCATTTCTCTGAAATAAATATAATGGTTTGAATTTGGTCTTTTATATCTCAAGTCTACTTGAGGATTAATCTGAAAAAGCAGTTAGCTTTATAGTGGACACAAGAAGACTAGTGAGATACTAAAGTCTACAAATTTGTGTATAGAGAGAATAAATATCGATAATTGTGCTGCTCTCTGCTCATATTAATATCACATATTTTGAAGTAACTTGGAATGTTTTTGTTGTTTTGCAGAAAATGCTATTACCGTGTGGCCTTCCTCCAGATAGAGAAGACGATTAGGAAGCAATGAGGGTTTGATTCATCTTTCTACCTGCTAGGAACTTGTCTGATGGAATGTTAGTTTGGATTTTGAGTGTTTTAACTGTCAAATTTGGTGTTGTGGCAGAGATTTTTTCGTCTGAGTATTTAAAAAACAGTGATGCAGCGATAAAATTTCGGTTCGGCAAATTTGATCTGATACATTTTGAGTAAAGAAAAGTTATATATCTATCTTGAACAAGTGAGATGCCATACTTTTTCACCACTTATGTGAAGAAGAAAAACAAAAGATAAAAACATGGAACTGATAATAAAGAGAGAGACTCATAGTTGTGAACTGATTCTATTTGAGGATGCAAGTAATATAGAGACATCACAAGACAAGAAGTAAATGTTTTTTCTTATGTCTCTCTGTTTTGCCTCAATTTGTTTTTCAGAGAAAACCTTTCATTGGATCCTCATGGCGAACTCTCTTCACTCTGTAAGCTTCAATCTCTTCCTGAGTAACCTCGTTGTTGTATTTAACATTGTATTTGCGTTTCCTCTCATCTTTCTCTTCCCTCTTACGCTCATCCTCCTTCTTAAGAGCATTAGCAAGTTTCTCCTCGTTCAACTCCAAATCTTCACCAACATCGGTTCCCCATGTCGCCATTCTCTTCTTCTCTCCAACGTTCTTTGTGCTCTCTTTAGAAGCTTCTTTGTCCTCGATATTAGCCTTCATCAGATCAAGAACAGCCTCTGCAGCTTCAATTCCAGCAGAGCCTGTGCAGTAACTGTTCCGAAAAGTCTGCTTGCAACATATATATCCGCATTGATGATCTTTCCACCATGATCCCCAAACACTAGTGTGATTGTTCGTCAAAACATCTTCTTCGTATTTGCTCTTTGGGGGTAATATCACCACCTCTTGTCCCTTTATAATCCTCCCTGCTCGGTCATACTCGACTTGTCTCTCGCTTTGTCCAAGCAAAAGCTCCATTGGAATCTCATCACCTTTTGTTGCAGCTGCTGCATTACCATACTTTCTCATGATTGAATCCTTTGTCTGAGACTTTAGCTTCTCCTTTGCAATCTTGAAGTTCTTGTAGAGAAAATCAGCTTGTGATGGAGCAGCTTCTGTATGCATGTCATGTCCCTTTTCAAATGCTTCCCATGAGTGGATGTTCATCTGTTTAAACTCAAGAGCTTGGCCACTGTTTCTACAATGGTTATCTCCAAGATAGAATTTATCATTCGGATCTACATCTGGTAACGGATCTTCACGCATTGATCTACTCTTGGGATCATAATGTGCCGAGTTCAGATCAAGATTCAAAAGGTACTTCGCTGTGTCTTCTCTTATACGCAGATTCCTCACGGTCCCCGTGCTACCACCTCCCGTTGTTCGAACACGCTTCTCGACCTTTGCGAAATCCATCTGCCTGCTCTCATCAACCTTTGCTTCATCGACCCTTGAGTCGTCTTCTTCATCTTCTTCGTCCTCATCACTTGTTCGGCTATTGTTCAGCTTCTTCTCTAACTTCTTGTTCAGCTTCTCCTCTAGCTTCTTGTAATTCCGCTCCTCTAGCTTCTTGTTCAGCTTCTCCTCTAGCTTCTTGATCTTCTGCTTCTTCAAATACTTCTTTCTTGCTTCCTCTTGCGCTTCATGACGCTCCACGACACGACGATGGTGCTCCAAAGGATCACAACCGTTCCATCGGTCTCTTTTACCGTCGTAGTCGAGCTCGAAGCTCTCTATTTTCTCATCTGCTGCAATCTTCTTGCTCGTGAATCTTGCTCCAACTTTTCGAGGTCTCTCTGTACATGACTTCACGCCGTGGGACATGGAGCCACAGTTTTGACACGACCCTTTGCGGAACTTCTCGGCTTGGTGAGTCTTTGCGCCTCTGTCGTACCATGAGTTTTTCTCTGTGTGGTCATCGAGGGGAGCACTATTGTTCTTCCACTTCTTTTGATGCTTCAAACTAGGGTTTTTGGATCGAGAGGAGTACCATGGAACAAGATTTAGAAACTGAGGTGTGTGTGGATTGATTTCTTTTCCATCCTCATCTATCTCAGCAGGAGCGAGACCAGCTTTACGAGCTTTCTCTAATTCGATTGTCTTCTTATGATCTTGCCTTGACTTGAAAACAACCATCGTCGTTATCAAAACCCTAAAGCAACGTTTCGACTCCTGACGAAAAAGAAAAAGAAAAAGAAAAAAAAGTGAAAGGAATTGAAATAAGCTCTCTCTATGTATACTGTATATGCTTCGTTTAGGATTTCATTCTGTAAATTTTCCTTTTTCTCTTACAGATCAAACGTCCTTTTTTTTATGTTAATTGGTTTCCTTATTTTCGTTTTGTTTTTTACCACAGTACTTAGTTCACCGCCTCTTTTTATTTACGTCGAATGGTGTTGACTTCAAAACCACTTTTAAAGTAAAAGCTAACTCTTTGCCACATCATTTCTCTTCAAGTGAATTTTTGATCCATCGGTGGAATTGTGGAAAGTCCATAAAATACTTTTAAATGTGACACTTTTAAAATTGTCCAATAACTTGTTTTTCTTATTATTATTATTTAATCTACTTTTGTCCAAATAATTTGAAAATATTTTGGACATTGCAAAACACCATAAAAATGGTGTGTGGAGGCTGATTCTATTATGTGTTAGTGATGGGTTTAACACCTTTTACTAAAAGCTTTTCATAAATAAATTAAGAAAATGTTCATTTGAAATTCTACTTTCGCTTTCGGGGTTAGGTCGGTTCAGTAAAATGAAAATATTCTGAGATACGTTCAAATCACAGAGGAAAAGAAAAATAAACTCCGAGAAGAATGGAAATTATCCTTATCCCTTAAGAGAAGGATTCGACTCGAGGCGGTCTATAAAGACTATATAAGGAGAGTCTCTTTTTCTCGAAGATCATTCATTCACAACTTCGGACTTGAAACCTAGGGCAAACAATAGCTTCCCGTTTTCAGCTTTAGATCTTAGTTCTTACTCTCAAAACTTTAGGTCGGCATTCTTTTCCGACGACCTAAAATCCTTGTACTCTTCGAGCTCCGGCTAATTAATAAAAACTATATCTTTTTCCCCACAAATCTTTATATTCTCTTTAAAGGTGATATTTAGATCTTACAGTTGACACCGTCTGTAGGGACTAAAAGATACAAGTTCACCTACTCACGCCGGAACTCGAAGATGGCTACGGAAAAACAATCCACCGACAATACCATCATTCAACCGCCAACCCTCAATCCTTAGCAGGTCGGGGACAACTCCAGCATATAGCAGACCGGGTTGGGCTCCGACACCCTAGAGCCTGGTGGCAGCTCTAACGTTCAACAGCACGGGGTCCCTACTGAAACCGATCTCCCGATCACTTGGAGCCGTCTCAACACGACAGGCATACTCCCGCCCCCTCCACCTCCACCCGCAGCGACAGATATCACCGCCATCCTGCAGTCCTTCATGGCACAAATGGACAACAAGCTGAACAAGCAGATCGGGGCTATCAAATCTCAGCAGGTCACATACCTCAAAACACTTCGCGAACCCGACCCGACACTCCACCACGGGACGCAAACGATACCGAGACCGGCACTTCCAAAGCTGTCCACATACCCCCGGGCACCACTGCGTCGGGAGCCAAATGTCTCATCTTCGGCGAGAGCAGGGCAGCGAGGACCAACACGCTAAGGATTCCAGTACCCGATCTAAGCACAAGTCCCGCCTGTCCGTCCCAGACTCCACCTCTGAACAGACGCCCGAGCTCGCCGAGCTTACCTGTCTACACCAGAGGATCAACGAAATCAAGTCCCAAGTTCATCACGCGACTAGCTCAGCCCCCGAGCTCGAACAAGTCCTGAAGCTCACTCAGCAAACACCTTTTGCTGAATGCATCACCCGCGTACCTCTACGCGACACCGTGAAGCTCAAACTCCCAGCATCGTTCGTCGGTAACACAGACCCGCAGAAACACCTCATGACCTTTAACAACGCCATGAACCGCGCCTGGTTCTCATCCGAGGAACACGACGCTTCCCTCTGCCAGTACTTCGTGGAATCCCTTGCTGGGAACACACTCCAGTGGTTCTCCAAGCTCAAACCAAACTCTATCGAGACATTCTCTCAGCTCTCCCTAGAGTTCCTCCGACACTACTCCATGTACATCGAGCGAGGAGCAAACACCTCCGAACTCTGGACCTACATCCAGGACAAAAAGAAGACCCTCCGCTATTACATCAGCCGCTTCTGCACTATCATCTCCTGATGCGATCCAACGGACGATAACGCCATAATAGCGCTCAAACTCAACCTTCGCAAGAACCAGAAGTTCTACGACAAGATAACAACAGGCAAAACTCAATCCCTCGACGAACTCCTCAACAAAGCCACCAAATTCATGAACCTGGAGGACACACAAGCCAGAGAGGATGAAAAACTCGCTGCAAAAAAGAAATCAACAAGCTCCCGACCTAAAGAAGACGAGTACCAAGAACCTCGCCAGCACTATGATCACGACGATAAGGCTCGCAGAAACAACGTCTCCGCCATCACCCGACCTGCCCAATGGAACAAGTGGGACTGCACCACGAGCAACGCCTCCGGGTCGCAACCATACTGCACTTGGCACAACCGCTCTGGTCCCGACGATCTCGACTGCCGCCACCTCAAAGAACTCCTCTACCAACACTGGTGAGATGGCAAAATCAAACTGGAAGAACGACCACGCGATGGATACCCAGCACGCCGACCCTATACTGACCAACGTCGCCCACGAGACGATGACCGGCGCGCCCCCGCGCCACAAGAATAGGCCATCCTGACGAGAATCCCAAGCATGCATCGGAAGACTCGCCTCCACCACCACCACCCCTCCCATCACCTCGATGCAGGATCAACATGATCATGGGCGGCCTACTTACCTGCAATGACTCCATTCACTCCATAAAAAAACATGAACGTCGTGCCACGTACGCTAAGAAGGAGACACCTTGCTACGACAATTCCTTGCCCATTACCTACACGGAGGCTGACGCTGAAGGCCTCGACCGATCACATAACGACCCTCTCGTTATCTCCCTATGCATCGGGAATGACGACATCTCGAAAATTCTGATCGACACCGGCAGCTCGGTTGACCTAATATTCAAGACTACCCTGATTCGGATGGGGATCAAGGACAGTCTGATCAAAGTTGCCCCAAAGGCATTTACGGGCTTCGCTAGCGACTCCACCTCTACTACTGGCACAATCAAACTACTTATGACGACTAAAGGAGGCATCGTCACCACGGTCAAGTTTCATGTCATCGACAAACCGGCCATTTACAACGTCATCCTCGGGACACCGTGGATCAGTGCTATGTGGGCCATTCCTTCGCCGTACCATCAATGTCTCAAGTACCCGGGCAGAAAGAGAATCATCACGATCAGAGGCGACCAGCGTGAATCCTGATCTTGCTTCATCGGCGATCAACGCGTCTGACACGCATCTACATTCATCATCAATAGTCTGGATCCCCGACTCATGCATTATGACAAGCCGAAGAACGACCTAGTCGTACAAGTTAACATTGACATCGAGCATCCCAAATGATGCGTCGGGATCAGAACCGAGCTCCTCCCGAGCATAAGTGACGACCTCATCGCCTTCTTCCGCGAGAGCGTCTGTACCTTCACTTGGTCTATGGAAGATATGACAGGAATCAGCCCAGATATCACTAGCCACGAGCTGAACGTTGATGTCATGTTCAAACCAATTAAACAGAAGAGGCGCAAACTTGGTCCCGAACGAGCTCAAGCCGTCCAAGACAAAGTCGAGAAGCTCATGGCAGCTGGGTCGATCCAAGAAGTTAAGTACCAGGAATGACTAACCAACCCCGTGGTAGTCAAGAAGAAGAATGGTAAATGGCGTGTGTGTATCGACTTCACTGATCTTAACAAGGCCTGCCCTAAAGATAGCTTTCCGCTCCCCCGAATCGACCAACTCGTGGAGGCGACCGCCGGCAATGAGTTGCTTTTCTTCATGGATGCATTTTCCAGCTACAATCAGATCGTGACGCATCCCGATGATCGCGAGAAGAACTCGTTCATCACCAACCGCGGGACATACTGATACAAGGTGATGCTATTCGGGCTCAAAAACACCGGCATCACTTACCAAAGACTGGTTAAGAAGATGTTCACCGACCAGCTCGGACACACAATGAAAGTCTACATCGATGACATGCTTGTCAAGTCTTTGAAGGCTGACCACCATATCACCCACCTCAGAGAATGTTTCCAAATTCTGAACACCGATTGACCGGACGGATCGCCGCCCTCAATCGCTTTATCTCCAGATCTACGGACAAGTGCCTCCCGTTCTACCAACTTCTTCGTAGCAACAAACGTTTCTTTTGGGACGACAAGTGCGAAAAAGCTTTCCAGCAACTGAAGCTCTATCTCTCGACGCCTCTTGTACTCGCCAAACCTGAAGACGGAGAAACACTATACTTATACGTGCCCTGTCTACCTTGGCCATCATCATTGTCTTCGTCTGGGAAGACCGAGGCAAACAGAAACTGGTCTTCTACGTTAGCAAGAGCCTCGACGGCGCGGAGATAAGATACCTGACCTTGGAGAAGCTAACCCTAGCAGTAGTTGTGTCATCTCGTAAGCTGCGCCCTTACTTCCAGTCTCATACAATAGCTATCCTCACGAGTCAGCCGTCTCGCTCGCGGTATGGACATCGAACACATCCGAGCATACTGTGACTCCCAACTCGTAGCCAACCAGTTCAGCAGAGACTATGACGCCAAAGACGAACGGATGGACAAGTATCTCAAGCTCGTTCGAAGCTTAGCAAAGGAGGTCAAGACTTTCGAACTATCCAAGATACCCAACGCAGAAAATACTGAAGCAGACGCCCTGGCCGCACTTGCCTCTAACAAAGATACCGACCTCCGTCACCTAATCCCGTTCCAAAGCATCAAAGCTCCGAGCATCGACCCGGATCGTGGCGTTTGCACAATCACTTATCAAGAAGCCAAACCGACACCCCACTCAAGGAACCAACAGAACCGGAGCCCGAGGACTGGCGTGATGAAATCCATGCCTACTTAGCCAATGGCATGGAACCTAAAGATCGTTGGGCAGCTCGTCACCT